ACCAGAAGCGGTGCAAATACCTGTAATCCCAGCACTCTCGGAGGCAGAGGCAGGCAGATCTCTGTGAGTTAGAGGCCTGGTCTACAAAGTAAGTCCAGGACAACCAAGGTTACACAGAGAAACCCTGTCTAGGGAAAAAAAAAAAATCTTACTGCCCTTTTGAACTATGCAGTATAACACAAAAAATTAATATTAAACCAAATACCATGTTGTTGTTTTAAGGCAAGTTCTCATATATTCCAAGCTAGTTTGGACTCTGAGCTTCCTGTCTCCAGATCCCAAGTGCTAGGGTTATAGACAGTGTGTGCCACTCCAACCAGCAAAATAGTATTTTGCATAATAGTTTTAAACTTCTTTTGCTGAAGACAACTCAAATGAATTCTAACAAACTGTATGATTTCTTATGAATTTTAAATTATCATTTAAAGGTTAAAATAATTGCAAAGGACACAATTTCCAATATGCTACAAGTATCAACATTTAAACAACATGTTGATATTCAATGGCAACAATTTCTGACTTGCCTGGAACATCCTTTGTAGACTAGACAATCCTCTTGCTTGTCTCCAAGTATTGGGATCATAAGCATGTACCACCATGCCTGCCTAGTTTTTGTAAGGATGCATCTTGTTTAATGAAAAAAAAAAAAAAAATTTTTTTTTTTTTTTTTTTTTTCTTCAAGACAGGGTTTCTCAGTGTTCTCCTGGCAGTTTTGGAACACCCACAGTAGACCAGGCTGGCCTTGAACTCAGGGATCCACCTATTTCTGCCTCCCCAGTGCTGGAATTAAAGGTGTGCACCACTACACCCATCAATTTTTTTATAAACTAAAACATTTTATAAAGAGAGTGGCAATCTCTTCTATCATTGGCTCTGTTTCTCCCAGTGCACCCTACCCCGACGTGTTTTGACTCTTAATGTCTATCAGACTTCTTTATGTTTGGAGATTCAGAGACAATGTGCCTTACTGAGATAAAGTGGGGGTCTAGTAAATTGTCTGGCTTATTGTTCGTAAACTGTACAACACTACAGGCAAGAATCTCTGTACTTTCTTCTTCCTGGTCTGGTAGGATTCTCTACAGGAGACTTAAAAAAATAATTTATTTGATTTTATACTATGTGCATTGATGTGAGGGTGTCAGACCATCTGGAACTGGAATTATAGCTAGTTGTAAGCTGGGAGTTGAACTTGGGTCCTTTGGAAGAGCAGACAGAGCTCTTAACCACCTCTCCAGCATCTAGAGAATATTCTTATGGGTCAGGTTTGGCTACTAGCATCTGGGAATCAAAAAGAATATGGGTTAGGATGTATCTCAGCGGCGAAACTCTAGTTCTAGGGATTAGCCCCAAGTCTAATTCTAACACTGGGCCCCTCCTTCCAAGAAGGCTGGGGTACGGGCAGCACAGCTTAACTCCATTTGATACATACAGTCACTTGCCCAATCCAACTGTTTTGGTAAGATGTCCAGGTCTTAGACATAGCAGAATTGCCCAGCCAGAGATACACATTTCCTGCTTTCCAGAGAACTTCCAGTCTCTCTGCCAGTTGCACACAAACACTGGCTAGGAGATTAACAGAACAGCTTCCCCGTTGCAGGAACTGCCAATTTCTGAAGCCAATCTCTGAAGCGACTCTTGAAAGTTGTGTTGTAAATATGACAGTTTTCCTTTTTCCACTGGCAACTAATGATGTAGTTTGTGGTTTCTACAGAAGTCCATCATCAGTTCTCCATCTGCTTTCCAACTTTCAAAATATTGCTGTCTTCCTCACCCTCTATCATCCTTATTGGTCTTTATAAAATATTTCTTCATTGTAGTTTTAATGGGGTTGAAAGCCAGAGGGGTAAAAAATCTGTCACTTTAACCCCAAACCTACTTAGTCATTTCAGTAAAGAGTCTTCAACCTGTCTAGACTTTTAACAACTAAAATATATTGGTACAAAGAAGATGCAAATTACTATCTTAACTGGAAAAAAGAAAAAAACATGAAAGGCACTGTGTCTTCCTTCATAATTTTTAAACTGGTAATAAAAAGTGAACTCTGAGGGGCTAGAGAGATGGCTCAGAGATGGCTCAGAGGTTAAGAGCACTGGTTGCTCTTCCAGAGGTCCTGAGTTCAATTCCCAGCAACCACAAGGTGGCTCGCAACCACATGGTAGCTCACAACCATCTATAACGAGATCTGGTACCCTCTTCTGCATGCAGGTGTACATGCAGACAAAACATTGTACACATAATAAATAATAAAAAGAAATCTTTATAAAAAGTGAACTCTGCTTGAGAGCTTAAAACAGTAGTGGTTTCTCAGCTCTGAAAACCTAGGACAAGCCTATGGAGCGAGGCACACACACGTAGTGGTAGACGATTTTTTTCAAAGTAAGCAGTGTTTTAGAATAGGATACGGAAGTACACTGGTAACCCCAAACTGTAAAGTGACAGGAAAAATCACCTATTTCTTGATAACTCTGGAGTTAGTCATTTTCATAGGTTCTTCCTTACTGTCACAACTGTTTTAACTACCCCTGTCACTTACTGCCTTATTTTTTCAAAATCATTATAAATACTAGTTCTCATTCCCTGTTCATATCAGAAACTTTTTTAACTTTTGAAATATTTCTGAGTTTTGATATAAACATAATTTGAATCTTTCTGGGACAGTAAATTAATCAGTACCACACAGTTTTGTGAGATTATGCATGTATGCCTTGCCTTGTCTGTCTGCTTGCCTTTCTTCCTTTTTTTTTTTTTTTTTTTTTTTTTCATTTTACTCATAGATACTGGCTATCCATTACAGGTCAGGACTTAGTCCAAGCATCAGCCACAAATCAATGAACAAAACAGAGACCCTGCTCTTACCCAGTTTGTATCTAGTGGGGGCAACAGAGAATTTCAAAAGTGTCTGTCAGAGTTAGAGTATAGAAAGTGATAAATGGGCTGGGGGGCATGATCAGAGAGCCAATCCTGAAAAGATATATATATGAAAACAGAGAACAGAAATAAAGGTATTTGTGGTACAAGTAACTCTGAAGAAGAAAAAATACAGAGATGCTGAGTGGGGAGAATGCTCAGTCTGCTACAGAAGTGGTAGAGAACAGTGGGGATAAAGAGAATAAGCGTTTCTTTTCTTGTTTACAGTTTCTGCCAGAAACTTCTCTTTTCAGGATTTTTAGTCATTCTTTTAATTTGTGTAGTTAAAATTCTTGATTTGTTGAAGGGCTGAGATTGTGTTGTTAGTAACTAAGCTAAAGATGTTATCATCTTTAGCTAAACTAAAGATAATAATCTGCTGTGTTTGGTGGTTTGAATAAGAATGCCCCCATAGGCTCATAAACTTGAATGCCCTGTCAGGAAGTGGCACTATTTGAAAGGATTAGAAGGATTATTAGGTGTGGCGTTTTTAGAGGAAGTGTTAGTAGAGGAAGGCTTTGAGGTTTCAAAAACCCATTCCAGGGCCAGGCTGTTTCTCTCTGCCCACAGACCAGGATGCAGCTCTCAGCTACTTTTACAGTGCCAGGCCTGCTGCCATGTGCTCTGCCATGGTGCTAATGGACTAAGTATCTGACTAAGCAACCTCCCAGTTACATGCCTTCTTTTATTAAAATTGTCGTGGCCATGTGTCTCTTCATAGCAACAGAACAGTGACAAAAGTGATAAACATTTTGGTTGAACAGAGGCTTATAAGTTATTCTTAGTTTTGAAGGAGGGGAGGTAATACGATGAGGAACCAGGTACGGTTTTGGGACCTGGTTCCAAATTTATTTTCTGTAGCTGATCTTGAGACAAGAGTTGTAGGTGTTAGGATATGTATTCACTTTTACCCTTTTGCTCCAATTTGATAATGCAAAAGTAGATTATGTGGTTTTAAAATAACTTCTGTTAAATATATGCTCTAACATGTTACTTACACTAAAAGCCTGTTTCCTTACCTGTAAAAGAAAAAAATGAAAATATCTAAAATGTTACAAAGATTGACATAATAATCCATTCAGATGAAGCAATTTGTATCCTAATTAAAATACACTTTTTAAACTTTCAAATTTATAATTTGTTTTTCAGCTAAGTACTTTGTTTATTTTGTTTTTTGAAACAGATTCTATTTAGCTCTGGAACTCACAGAGATCCTCCTATCTCTGCCTCTTGAATGCTGGGATTAAAAGCATGCACCACCAGGCCTGGTTTCAGCTAAGTACTTTAAAATTTGTTTTTTTCCTTTTTGTTTTGTGTTGGGGACTGAGCATAGGATTTGTTTATGATTCTAAGTGCTCTACTAATAAACTACATCTGCAGCCCTAAATTTTACCTTTTAACTGTTTAATTCTACCTAAAGAGTTTAATGCAAATTTTTCTTCAGCAAAAATAAAAAAAATTTTTTTTGGGGGGTCACTTTTTGAGACACGGTCTCTTTATCTAGTCCTGGCTGTCATGGAACTCACAAAGACCTGCCAGCCTAAAGCCTCAAAAGTGCACCATCACACTTGGCCCCAGCTAATTTTAACCTGTGTAAATCATGTAACGTGTGTTTTCAGTTGCAAAGCAAAATTCAACAGATATACATGTTTCAACTTGAAGTCCTCAACAAGGATCAGAATATAGATATTCAATTTAAACTTTATTAACTGGTCAGTTTGTGGTAGAAAATGCAGGCATGTAAGAAAAGTTTTGAAAGCAACAAATAATATTCACAGATTTTCTATTAACTATTAATGCCTTTTTAAATTAGTAGTGGGATTTTTTTTTTTTGAGGGGTCCTGCTCTTCTCTATTTCCACTGTTCACATAATCACCGAATGCTAATAATCATTTGCAGTTATAAACTTCTCACCAAATACTTCGTCTGAACTAGAGAAATACTATTCTTTAATATGCTGGTATTATCTAATAGTTAGTAACCTTACACAAAAACTTAATATGCAACCCATAAGAGCTATCATTAGGGCCTTTAAAGCATCCTGAAGTGGTTTTCAAAATTCTCATACAAAGAGTTAACAGAATTGAACTTACTCCATGCCCTGTGCAGTCTGTCGTGCGATATCTATAAGTTTGATCATCTCAAATTTAGTCTCGATTATATGGAGATGATGATATAGGCTGGAGCCCTCACACCACTGGGTAACAATAGCCAGCTGTGGCTTTGTAGAATAGCCCATGAAGAGTAGGATGTTTACGTGTCTTGTTTTCCTGAAAAAAAAAAAAAAAAAAAAAAAAGACAGGTGACAATGAGGAACAATTCTTTCTTTAAAGAGAGCCAAATCAGTCTACCAATAAGATTCTCTCAGTCAAAAAGTACTGGAAACAAAACAAGGTTAACCTAGTCTAACCTGTTGAGAAATGTATTACTTATATATGAGTGAGGAAGTAGAGGTTGTATTCATTTGTTTACGTGGGTCTAAACTTATCAGAAGTTTTCTACATGGAAGTAAAAGCATTTTCCTCTAACCTCCACAATTAACTTTTTTTGTTCTGCTGTCTGAAATACAAGAGTAACTATGTACTCTCTTGAATACTCTGGATTAAAATCTCAGTTTTGTTGAGCACTTCCTTCAGACAAAATTATAAATCCCCAGAATCTTCCCTATGTAAGTTTTCTTATGAGGGATTTACTCTCATTTGTCAATGTTCCTCAAGGCCTAGGGCCCAGGACTAAACACAATTTTAAATGTGTTTTCCACACTTAGAATTTGTAAAGTATTACTTTCCTAAAAAGAACTATTATTATATATAATCATACTTTTTATTTCCATTAATTTAGTCTTATCTTTCAGATTCAGTACCAAATGACACTGCGCATCAGGAAAACAACATAAACACAGACTCTAAGTAGACACATTATATTGCTTTACTTTTAGCTGGAAAGCATGGTCTAAAAGCTTACCTGAGTACTCCTACTTCATTTTTGAAGGCCTGTAACTGTTGGGGTGTGGGCGCTGTCACATTCAACATTTTTACTGCCACATCACCTGAAATAAAATTGTTATTCCAAAATTTCAAATTGTAAAATAAGAAATACTTATTCTTGGGCTTTTTGCTAACTGTCAGTTTTAAATACGTATCATTATTAACTGAAAATAAATTATTTAACGACCTAATAATACACTGTACTTTCCTTCTTTTTTTTTTTGTTAAAAAAAAAATACTATGGGACACACACATTCTCCAATCCCACACAGAGCAACTGATGATACTTCTATACTACTAATTCAAAGAGTAAGTTAAAATATAGCCAACATTTTCCCCTGGGAATACAATTTAGGCAACTAAGTACTCAGAATTCTCCTAATCACTTAACAATATGGACTGAGGTGTTAATTACTTACTACTGAAACCATGGACAACAGGTCCATTATATCTTGGCTTAAAATAAATATCTGCATTTTTTTCCCCAGAAGTTATGATTTACTTATGATGTGGACTAGAAAATAATCAAAATTATAATCATTTTAAATTTAACTCTTACACACGTCTAGCGGATGTGTAAGCTGGCACAATCACCGGCAGCACTGATGGAGTATGTATGAAACTGCAAGTATGCATATGGCATAGTTCTAAATTTTCTCCTAGGCATATAGTCAGTAAAAATATACAAATATGTTCTTCAAAAGGCATACACTAAAAATATACAGAGCAGCATCATTCAGAATAACACCAAACTGGAAAGTACTCAAATGCTTATTACAGAGCAGACGGAAAAAAAATCACACTACAGTCACATAATAAAATACTACTCAGAGGGTGAATGACACACAAACACAACCAACAACATCAATGGATCTTACAATACGGAGAAAGAGGAGCCACACAAAAGATTACACATTATTCTGTTGTAGTCAGGCCATTAGTTACCTTTACAGAGTGAGTGAATAAAGAGCACATGTGGGGAGCTTTAGTGTGCTAATACTGTTATACTTATTAATCACAACTGTAGTCTCACTTGGTGAGTTTCAACTATCTGAACACTTAATACACATTTTTAATATTACCACTATAGATCTTGATTTTTCTTAACTACTGAAGTAATAGAGTTTTCATTCTATCAGCTATACAACGTAACACTGCTTATTATTTAAATGTTTCAGGAAAGTATGGCATTCAGAACCCGTGTGTGTGTGTGTGTGTGTGTGTATGTATATCCTACTAAGCTTATTTATGTATGTAGTATAAATGCTTATGCATAAGAAATAATAACCTGAGAAATTCAGATAGCATTTTATATTGTATTTATTTTATGTAGATTTTTAATATGAAGTTATTGCTGCTTCAAACAACTTATATATTAGACATCTTTCCATATCAATATAGTTCTAGTATGTAATTTTGACTCCTGTGTAATCATATACAGATTTGTCAGTGTATTAATTGAACCCTCTAATAGTGATATTTAAGTTTATTTTCATTATTGCTGTATCTCTGGTGAGTACTCTCCCAAATATCAACTTATTCACTGCTCTCTAATTACTTGCTTAGGCTTAATGTACATACTGCCAAATTTTCTTATTTCTCCATTAGCAAGGGGGAAATAAGGATTATAATCCTAATCTATACAGGAACAATTAAAAAAACTGTTCATTAGTAAAGTCATGATTTCTATCTTTTGAATTTGTAATACTTTTTATGTTTACTTGTGATTTATAATACCCACAAAATTATCAAAAAAGAATACTTCTAAAAGAAAAGCAAACTTCCTTTGGAACTAATAGCTTGATGATCTCCATCTTTTTATTTATTTATTTTTTATACAGCATTCTGTCTGCATTTCAGAAGAGGGCACTAAATCTCACTATAAATGGTTATGAGCCACCATGTGGTTCTGGGAATTGAACTCAGGACCTTCGCAAATACAGCCATTGTTCTTAACCTCTGAGCCATCTCTCCAGTCCCGATGATCTCCATCTTTATGAATCACTACTGTGAAGTATTAACATCAATCTTGGTTACTAGGAAGCCAGTTTTTATGTGCCATCATTTTTGTTAGAAACCTTTGGAGGACTCCTGTATTTAATGAAAACACTTTAATGATGCAAACAATTAATATTTTGACTTCGTATTTAGTTTTGAGACAATCTCTTGTTCATGTTGGCCTTGAAGTTTCTAAGGATGTCCTTGAACTACTAATCCTCATACTTATACCTCCTAAGTACTGGGAACACAGGAGTGTGTCATGATGTTTGGTGTTTATTTTTATTTTTTCCATTGAGACAGGTTTCTCTGTGTAGTCCGGTCTATCTTAGAACTTGCTCTCTGGACCATCCTTGCCCTGAACTTAAAAATCTGCTTGCCTCTGCCTACTACTGAGTGCTGGGGTTAAGGGCATGTGCCACTAAGCCCAGCTTTGGTCAAGTTATAAAATAAAGTTGCTTAAAAAAACAAAACAAAAAGACAAACAAACATATACTACTTGAGCTTCAGGGTGGCAGAGGCAGGCGAATCTCTGTAAGATTGTGGCTAGGCCACAAATCGAGTCCAGGACAGCCAAGGCTATCCTGTCTTGAAAAAATAAAAAAACAATATAAAACAAAACAATCAAACACCGCCCCCCCCCACACACACATACTGTTGTGTCAACGGCACCAATATCGTATACATACCATGCCACTTTCCCTTGTACACAGTTCCAAAGGACCCAGATCCGATCCTTTGCCCCACTGTAATCTGTCCATCAGGGATCTCCCAATCATCACTCGAATCTCTTCTACCAAGTGTTTTCTTGAAAAAAATATAGTGCAAAAGTCAAGCCAAGGCAAACAAAAAAGAAAATCCTTATATTTCATGCTAAATGTATTGACCTGACTGACAGGAAGTTAGGAAGAGAGCAAGGCCTTCTTAAAAAAAGAAAGAAAGAAAGAAACAAACAAACAACAAAATACCCTATGTTGAAGGAGCAATAGTTAAAATCATGACACAAAATACAAAATTAAATTTAAGATGAGTCAGTCTGAGGATGGAAAATTACTTAAAAACAGAAATAACTGGGGCTAGAGAGGTGTTTCAGAAATTAGGAGCAGTGGTTGCTCTTCCAGAGTCCCAGCACCCACATGGCAGCTCACCATCATCTAGTTCCAGGGGATCCATTCCTCTTTCTGGCCTCCTTCGCCACTGGGCACATACATGTTGCACTTATACATGCAGTCGAACACCCATATACACAAAATAATAAATACTAATTAAAAAATTAAAAAATTGAAATAATTTATTATGTGTAGAAATATATATTGCTATCTTAAAATCAAAATAAAATGTCTTTTTTAACTATTTGGAGGACTAGAGAGGAAAGATAACAATTATATATTTGTGGCTAGTTTTGGCTTCAAGTCTTTAAAAAAAATGTACAATTGTTGGTGCTAGATTTCCTGACATATCTTATTTTGATCATCAAAACAAACAAACAAAAAATATACCAATTATTTTGGTAAGGTAAAAGTATCAGAAAATTTTCAAATATAGGAGAATGCCATTTGGTAGATACTTGAACTAGCTTTTAGAATATACATACTTAATCATGCTTTCTAAATACTTGTTAACTCTCATTCTCCTTAATTTAGAAACAGAATATCATTATTTCCCTTTCAAAATGGCCTCAAAAATTGTATTAGAAACCAGAGCAAAAGTCAGTTTTGTGTGAATATACTTTATGCTAAAAACTATTAAGACAGTTCTATTTTATCTAAATGGTACAATTAACTTTGGCCATCATAATAGAAAAAACTTATTACATATCCTTACCATTCGATTTCTGTCTTCTGAGGATGATGATGATTTCCTTTCCCGCTGAGGTCCTGGAGATTTCTGTAAGGCTTTCACATTAGTGAGTGAGCCAGGTAATGAGGCAGGTGGGGTAGCAGACAAGCCTGTTGTTGACCCTAAATTAGAGAAAATGAGAATTATCCATATTAAGGAGGAACAACTATGTTTACTAAACTGGGGCAGAAAATGGGGAGATCAAGACTTGCTTTAAAACACAGTGCATGTTTAAATACTGGCCCTTTACAAAGGGTAGGCCAAAAGAGGCATTATTTGTGATTAGTATTGGAATTTCTTTTAGGTTTTTTTGGACAATTTAATGACCCTTAAGATAGATAATGTAATAAACAAGTCTAGAAAAACAATCTCTAAACCAAGGCAGAATTTCTAAAATTCACTCCCAAGTTCCTGTGCCTGGCCTTTGATTAAAAAACAAAACAAAACAAAACAAAACAAAAACCTAAAACATCAAAACCAATGTACAGGCAGGGTACCATACACCTTTAATCCTAGCACTTGGGAGGTTGAGGCAGGAGGACCTCTGTTGAGTTTGAGGCCAGCCTGGTCTACCAAGAGTTTCAGAATAGCCAGAGAGCCACATAATACAGAGAGCCTGTCTCAAAAACAAAACAAAACAAAACAAAACAAAACAAAACAAACTAACAAAAGCCCAACACAAAAGCTTACAAAACAAACTTACTCTGTATTATTTCAGTAGCCTCACTATTTCAAAAACATGTAAACAAACAAAACTGAAACATTTTTAATGGCCTTACTGTTAAAATACTTCTTTCATATTAGCCCTATATTTATATAGGATCTCAAACTACAAGCTCTACTTAAGAGATGTTGGGCAGCGTCATTTGTTCCTGGAGTTTTGGTTTTTGTTTTTCTATTAAATATAGATTGTTACCTTTATTGTAAAGTTAATATAAACAAAGCTAAGTAGGCTTCCTTTTTAAAGAATTTATTTTTATTTAATGTCCTCTGGTGTTTTGGCTGCATGTGTATCTGTGTGAAGTGTCGGAACTCCTTGAGCTAAGAGTTACAGACAGTGGTGAGCTGCCATAGAGGTGCTGGGAAAGTCCCCTGGAGAAGCAGCCAGTGTTCTTAACTGATGAGCCATCTCTCCAGAACCATTAAGCAGGCTTTCAAGACTTCCTGAAAGGCCTTGATATTATAAAAGCAAGCATGTAAGGGCTACGGCATCTCATCCTATTTCAGTTATATGCCAATATTTTACAAGCCAAGTGAGCCTTATAAGTGGACTCAGCTAGCCTGAGCAGAAATGCAACTTTTCTGATATGTAAACTTCCAGTCAGTTAGCAGAAACATGTCAATTACCTGGGACAGAGGAGTTTAGAGCAGTGACTCCCCAGAGTGGACAGTGAATATTCAGGCCTAAAATGTCCAGGTAGAATTTCCATACACAGCAGAGAAAAATCTCTAAAAAATACTAATCTCAAACGCAAAACAAAAAACAAAACAAAACAAAAAAAATGAGGCTCTTTCAAACAGCAAGGATGCCAACATTTTAAATACTAAATCTGGACAGATGTTTTATAGCCATTATATCATGTTATAGCACTGTATGAAAGTTCTATGACTGCATATGCAATTTTCTGAAAGAAAATGGTATCTAGAATTTCTTTTAGCTAGAGCACAATATATTTTATACCAGTTACTGATAACTTTCAACATTATAATGCATTAAGCACTTGCCCAGGCCTCATGCACAGTTCTCATTTATTACTTAGTTTAATTACATTACTGAGTACTAAATGACCTCTACTGCATCCATGGAGTGTCTGAGGAACAGCTGGGCCAATGGAAAACACTAAAACACCATCATTATATTAAGTACAGGTCACTAAATATATCAAGACAGTAAAAATAATTGTAAAAAATATTTAAAATAAGATAGAATTTTATCTTAAAATTTAAGTCAATATTATAACAATAAATTAAAATATGACAAGGTAAAATATGGAACTATAATTATATTAACTTTCCTCATAAGAGGGCATATTATTCAACATATAAACTCAATTTTTCTGAACTCATGTTTATGGATTATCAAAACATACATATCACATATATGGGAAAATAGAGAACCAAATATTACTAATATTACAAAACCTCAAAAAACTATCAAAAGTCTCATAAAAATCCTTTGGCCTCAAACCTGCAGTAATTTTCCTCCTGCTTTTGCTTCCCAGGTGCTGAGTTTACAGATGTGAGCCATTATGCTCAGTATAAAAACCTTTTCATAGGAGTTTGCATTTAGATTTTTATTTCCTAAAACAACTGTAATATTACTTAACCAAAGTTATTATCTAATGGACTAAAGTAAAAAGAATCCTGCCCATGTTTCCCAGAATTTAAGAAGTTATCAAGACCAAGCAGAAATAAGACAACAATAAGCAAGATGGAAATCCCAACACAGATTTTTTTTTTCCTTTAAAAATTCATAATAGACAGCATACAGAAAGCTTGCAGTTGTGAGTATGTGTGAAAAGCACATTCAGAGCATTCCAGCCAGGCCAAGCAGAAATTTAGTATTTAAAACTCTCACACTTACAAACACACACTGTGAGGGTGAGGCACAAACAGAATCTCTATTTTATATTTAGTTTGCTTGGGTGAAAACAAGAAAGAAGAGCCCAACTACCTCTGAACACTGGGCCAGGCTCAAAATCAAACACTATTTCACTGGGGACAGAATGTAGGAGGGGGCTGGGAGTCCGGGATTGGTATTTCCGAAGACAGCGCATCAGCTGGTTCAAGGGGGCTGTTAGAAGAGAAAGAGAGGGGCAGGCAAACACAGGAAGACAGACACACAGAAGAAATGAAAGAAGTCATGGGGAATAAATTAGATGAACTGAAGCCTGCTTCACAAAACAACTCTGGACGTTTACAAAAAAATCTGCTTATATTTTCACAAAAACCCCAATGAATTGTTAAAAAGTGACTCATAACAAGGCTAAAAAGTGCCACTTGATGTTAGGTACTAAGCAGGCTGTTTACTACTGAGTTAACTGTGATACTAACACAATGGAAACATTTAAATGCTGGATGCGTTGGGCAAAACTATCAGCAGCCACAGCTACTAAGACATATGAAAGTCAAACTGGCAGCAACATTAATTGGCAGGCTCATGGAATAACGAACAACAAAAACTCTTGAATAAGTATATGATACAGTTAATATTAAGTACACAATTCAGGCTTGTTATCTGGTGTCTTCAAAGGGTTGCCAACCATAACAAAATATGGTTTACAGGGTTTACTCAGTATAAAACACTGAGTCTGAGCCTGGACCTATCTGAAGATACAGACAGCCACAATGAAGAACCAGCTCTAGGCATGATATACAGTTAACATAATCATCCTTGTGAGACAGAAGGCAGCTGAGAAGGTAAGGACAGAGGAACTCTTGCAAGAAAATTTCAAGACAATCTCAAATGCCCTCTTAGAAAACATATGAGGTAAATTATTACAGGGTTTGCTTGGTTTGTTTTTTGAGACATAGACTAGGCTAGCCTCAAGCTCAATGTCCCTCCTGCCTCAGCTAGAACCACAGGTATGTGCTATCACATTTGGTTCAAAAATATTTTCTTTCTTAAACAGTATCTTTGCTGGAGGGAAGGCTAAATGGAAATTCTGTAAGAAATCTTAATGTAATCTCTCATTCTGGTATTTTCTTTATTATATCAATAAGGTGGTAACTGAATTTTTCCATTATGGGTCCATTCCATGAAATAAATGTATATTTCAAATAGTTCTAGAAAGTTCATGAGAAATGTTTGATAAGTCTAACAAATTGAAGGGATGTATAGTGGGCAATCCCAAAGAATGATGTAGAATTATTTCATCTGATTCTAAGCTCTATCTAGGAGTATTTGGTATAGGCCAAAAGAAATTCAGGGACTCCATTTTTGGAGGCAGAAAAAATTAAAAAGTAGATAAAACAATTAATGATCTCTCCTTGGTAGAATATTTTAAAATTGTAGGTGGTACATTTAAGACATTCTTCAATGTCTCCTCATTTTCTTTACTTGTTATAGATAATTTTAAATTCTGTATCAGTAAATGATTACTATACAAAACAAAACACAAACCCACTTGGTTTTCTCTACAAATTTTCTCTGTGTCTGTTTCATGAAAAAAGCAACCATAAAGGGGACAAGCAGCAAAGCAATTGCATTTTTGCCTTAAAAAACAAACAACCCCCCCTCGAAAAAAATTACTACTTACCTCCGTCACCACGAAACCCTTGGTCTCTAATCAAATCCTACAAACAAACAGTAAAATATGTTTATTCAAAGCATACAGCAAAAAAAGTAACAACAACAAATCTTCATTATGCATTAGCAGAAGGGTTAATTCAAAAACAATACCTGTCTTATAATTATTTCACAAAACAAAGACTACTAAATTAGCTAGTGCACATGACAAACACTATAAAGTTTGAAGTACTTGCCAACCTAGACCTACATAAAAGGATTATTAGTCCTGATCAAATGCTGAAATCCATTTCAGGCCACTCTGTGGCTTCATCAATCCTTAAAGAAAATTCTACTGGCACATATTAAGAGCCATAAAAATGTCCATACCCTTTGATCCTGTAATTCCACTTCTGGGAATTTTTCCTAAGGAAATAATTCAGAAGAAAAAAAATGATATGCACGAAGATGTTTAGTGCAGCATTATCCATCACACCAAAAATCAGAAATAATTATTTCCCTATGATAGGCATTTTGACATATTATGGTTATGGTGTATCAATTTAATGAAGTTATATGCAGTTACCAAACAATTATGAAACTTAAAACATGAAACGTGTTTACATATGGTAAAAAATACAAAATGAAAAGTATACTAAATACTATCATAAAGATGTGGGTGTACAACAAACATTAAAAAGGAAGTAAGATCAAAATAGCTCAAAGAAGGATTCTATTTAAATTGGTCTCCATTATTTAAAATAGAGCCTTTATAATAAATAATGTTGGCAGTAGGGAAAATCCCATGAAATTTAGATTCTAGTCCACAAGCCTGGATTAGTTTACTCATTTTAACTTAAGTGTGAGGGACTGACCGGCCCCAAATGTCTCTAAAAAGGTTAGCTATAAATAGGCACCATTTTGCTTATTGATTAGAATAAAGAGTGAAAAAAATTTATTTTTTTGAGACCGCCTTGTCTGTCCTCGACTCATTTTGTAGACAGGCTGGCCTTGAACTCACAGAAATCCACTTGCCTCTGCCTCCCAGAGTGCTGGGACTACAAGCATGCGTCAGAGGGCCTGGCTCAAGTGTGAATTCTTTACTGGTGTATTTCTACCAAACTTAATGTACTACATTAAACCTTCAACACATAAAAAATCTTGTAATTTCACTACCTTTCTGTGGTTTTGGGAACGTCCAAACACACTGTGAGATGTGGACATATGAAAACAAAATAACAGCTAAAGAATAAAAGAGAAATAGACCAAGTGTTGCTAATTTACTAGCATTTAAGAGTGGTGGTACTGACAAGATTTCTAGTGACATACATTAAGACTGAGATGGCTTGGCAGCCCTGACCTAACCTCCAGATCTGTAAGAATTGGTAACCACGGTGCAAAAGAAATGACACTAGGATTTCGGCATTGGTAAAGCAGCTGAAGAAATCTGAGTTGGGGTTGTGAGGAATAGATAGGCATGTAGAAAAGCAAAGTTTTTTATAGACAGAAAGACCCACAGGTGAAAGGTTGTATCCCTTTTCTCTTCACTATCTAGCTATGAAACATCCCATACTTACAGACTCGCCAAATATGGCTTTCTCCAGTCCTAACATAAGCTTACATTTTTCAATTTCATGTGTGTTCTTAAAGCTCCCTGTTGATCTATCTACTTGATCTAGGTTAAATATGATATTCTAGTATTCTAAAACCATTTCAACTGTTCCCTGATGTTTTCTAGTCCCTTCTCTCTCATTCCTTGGATTCAGCATCACAGAACAAACAAACCAACGAACTTCTGGCCACACCTCTGTTATCTAGGAGTACCTGTACAGGCAGCATCAGGTGCTTTCTAAATTCATCCATCTTCCTCTCTCCTTTCCTCTCCAGGGTGTCATGTTCCACTGGCTAGCCTCCAACTCCTGATCCTCTAGTGCCTTTAGCTCTCAGTGACAAGATTAAACACATATACAACAATGCCTAGCTGGAATCTATGTTTTTGTTTTTTATGTGCTGGTTTGAATAAGAATGGTCCCCACAGGCTCACATATAGTTGAATGCTTAGTTACCAGGGATTAGCATTGTTGGAGAAACTGTGTCCCTGGGGGTTGGCTTTGAAGTTTCAAAAGTCCATGCTAGACGCCCCCTTCTCTGCCTGCAGATCAAGACATAAAGCTCTCAACTACTGCTCCAGAACCTACCTGCATGCTCCCATGCTCCCCACGATAATGAAAATGGACTAAACCTCTGAAATTGTAAGTAAGCTCCCAATTAAATGATTTCTTTTGTAACACTTGCCTTGGTAATATGTCTCCAACTAAGACATAAACCATGAAAAAAGCCCAAAACACTCACATTTCAAGTGCTGAATATGAGGTTGCATGCTTTTAATCCTACCACTCAGGAGGCAGAGGCAGATGGAACTCTCGAGTTTGAGACCAGACTGATTTACTTACACAGAAATTTCAGGCAGGCCCAGGATACATCTCAAAAAAAAAAAAGCCAAAAAAAAAAAAAAAAAAAAGCCAAAAAAAGAAGAAAAGGAAAGAGAGACAGAGAGAAAGAAAGAAACAGAAAGAGAGAAAGAGAGAGAGAAAGAAATTTATACTAGCTCCAGCATTAAGAAATTTGCTTAATATCATGCCGTGTGTAAGGAGCTATATCTACCTTTAATTTACTGTAGCAAGACATCATTTTCAAGTTCAAGGAATTTTATCAACTATTCTCTACCTACTACCTCCAACCTTTTTTTCATTAGCTTCTTCCTTTCCAGTTAAAAAATGATGAAATCTTGGTTTAAAAAACAGTATTAGTCAAGCTTGCATCAAACTTCAGTTCTTTTGCCATTTTTATTTAGCGAAATTTCTCAAAACTGACAATCACTTTCTCTCCTATTCGACTTGCCTTTGGAATACATACAACTTTTAAAATTTCTTTTTAGGTGCTGCTTTGTTTGAGACATGATCTCTCACTGGCCTAGAACTTGCTATATAGACTAGTTTGGCCATGAATTCACAAAATCTGCCTGTTTCTGTCTCCTGAGTTCTGGGATTAAGGTATGCACCATCACGTCTGGCCCCCAAAACTTAAAAATGTTAATGGTGCTGGAATTTAAGCCCAAGGCATACATGTTAGGCAAGTGCTCTATCACTGAACTACCCAGCCCCAGACAATTTTTTAAAGTGTGTGTGTGTGTGTGTGTGTGCGCGTGTGCATGCATACACAAGTATATGTCATAGAGTTTGTGTAGAATCAGAAGCCAACTTCCTGGAGTTAGTTCTGGACACAGGATGTCAGGCTCTTATAGCAGGTACTTTCATCCTCTAAAACCTCTTGCCAGTCCTTAACCCCATGATATTTAATTGCTAAACACAAAATTCATTTTAGTCTGCATCTCACTTGAATATGAGTGCTAAGTCATATCAGTCCACCAGCACTTTTGGAGCCCACTTGCCTTAAGAGCTCATGGAGGTCACAGAGAAACAACAGTGTCTGCTACAATGTGAAAGAGTTGCCAGGCTGTGGTTTCTGTTTTCTGTTTTCTACTTGTTCCAATTTTATATATTCTTCAAGTAACATAATTTATGGCCCTCACTGAGATGATGCATCACACTCAAAATGTGTTTTCTGTCAGGTGTGTTTTCACCAGCCCATTTACAAACCTAGTCTTAAGACAAGGAGGTAGGAAGCAAGTCCAAGACAGCTTTAGGCTACATAGTAAGTTGTAGCTCCCTCCCCATGTGTTTTACAACTCCTACCTACTTTAGCGTACGTAATACAGCAATCAGTCAATACTGACAATTGCTACTTCCACTTTCCACCATTTCAGCCTTTTCGTGAAAGCCTATGATATTAATTAGTTATTCCTCCCATGTAAAGACAACTGCACAATCTTGTACACACAATTTCCTTAACAAATACCTTTTTTTTTTTTTTTTTTTTTTTTTTTTGTAATTCTCTATACAGTGTTTTACTTAATAAATACCTAACAATTCATCTTTTATTTGTATGGCTTCAAGGTCAACCCTTTCCTGCTAAATATTCCTACATCCAGCCAGGCAGAGTTCATCACGACCTTTCTGTGAAGTGACATTTTATTAAATGGTGATAATTTGCATATCTGATTACCCACTAAACTATAACATGATTGAGGGCAAAATGGTGTGTTAATTCATACTAAATCTCTAATTGCTAAACTCAGAGTCAGAGGTAAGTCTTTTTTTTCTCAGATTATAAGATAATAAGTGACTGAACATGAATAAAAATGTTAAGTCAAATAAGGGAACAGATGATAAAGTATTATAAAGAACTGTCCCAGTGAGAGCACCAGGATGGAAACGGATTTTAAAAAATTCTTGCAGCAATTTTTTCAAATGAGGAAATATGGAGTCAATAGTGGTATCAATAAGTCAGAACAGTCAGAGACGGGGAAAAGGTGTTATGTTAAGGCAGTTATGAAAAGGATAAAAGAGGGGACGAGGGAGAGGGTTACAGCTGAGATACAAAGTGAATAAACTGTAATAAATTAAAAAAAATTAAAAAAAGAAGAGGATAAAAGAGTAAGACATAAAGTGACTCTTCAAAAAGCTAAGCTTAAGAAACCAGGCGGATAGTCACAACCAGAGAAAAAAGGAGATGGTTTAAAAAGATGTTTGTTTTAAAACAAAGATGAAGGTTACAAGCTTGAACACACCAAAAACACTGTCAACCTAAAATACAGACTGACTCCTTATTTTCCAAGATCCTTATTCTCATATCTCCCTTTCCCATTTCTCTCTTCCTGTGCATTCAGGTCTACACAGAGAGAGAAAGGCCTTAGTTAAAAATGATACTGGGGGAAAAGCCACTTACATGAACTTACTCTCCAAAATACATGGGGAAAAATGTAATAAAAAGTAGGACGAAAGTCTAATTTTATAATCCTTTACTTGTGATTTATTTTGGTAATTAAATTAAAATTTATTATAAAGTATTTCAAAAGTTAATAAAATTTAAGTTACAGCTCCAATTACAAGATTTTAAACATAAACACAGAATTGTTTTTATTGGTTATAATGCCAAACTTAGGACAGAACAAATATAAATTTTTTTAAAGTCATTAACACATTGCACAAAAATCTTAGAAGATTCATAAATTCCCTCAAGGACTTCTCTTAATTCTTATATTCAAATTATTAAATTAAAATAAAAATAAGATCATTTTAATTTACAACTTTTGCAGATATGTCGTAGAGAAAAATGAGACTAACTGCAACTTGGCAATAGTGAAGTACTTAATATAATCAGAGAGGTTGATAGACTTTTTGGATCTATAATTCATGACCTTGCTTTTAAATGATAAATGAGAAGTGACATTTACTTCCAATGTGTATTAAAAGTAAAACAGAAAACCAAACAAACACACCTGAACTGCGTAGTTCTAACAACACTAGTACTTACATCAATATTGACAGGTTCAATTGTGTTTATGTGAACGTTGGGAGCTGATGAGGACCGGTCTCGTTGCCCAAACTGGTTTCGATGATCTTCATCTGCTGGTCGGAAGGGCTGTGGAATTGGAATGGATTTTGAAGGAGATGGACTGGTGAGGATTTGGGGCCTGGAAAAACCAAGTCATTGGGAAGATAAGATTTGGGGGATTAATATTAGTAATAATATTTAATATGAAAATTGTAAAATTTTTGTATTTAAAATAAGCTTTAAGGAAACAAAATATCAGCAGTAATGGCTTTACAAGAAGAATTAGTTTAAAAAACATACCTACAACTAGGACTGCCAAAGCTTGCTCAAAAGCAGACCTTCCAGGGACTATCAATAAAAACAATGATTCTGATCCAGAAAACTCCAGAGGAATCTACAAGTGGCTAGAAATTACCTGGGGTTAATCAGTAGAAGCTCTTATCCTTTAAAATTATATATAGAAATAAAATGTTCCAGGTAGAAACTAACTAGATAAAATATGCTTTGTTTCTTAAACATTATTTCTCATAATCTGAAACTACTCAAATGAAAATTTTAAGAAAGTAGTTAGGAAGTTACAAATAGTTCTGGGAATATACCTGTACATTTCAGGACCCCAAAGATTTAACTGCTGATTAATGCCAGTGTTGAATGAAATTTCTATAATATCAAAAGATCATTTCCAAAATTTCAGAAGTTAATCTGTATGGTGACAATTATCTTTTCATTTAAATTTTTTTTATGTTTAATTATTAACACCAGAGACCAAAAAAAAAAAAAAAAAAAAAAAAAAGACTGAAAAAAAAAAAATCAGGTGTGTGGTTGTGAGATGCACACGGAAGCCAGAGGCCTGTGGCAGGTGCCTTCCTTTCTACCTTCTTCTTTGAGACAGGGTCTTCTCACTGAACCTACAATTTATAATTGGTTAGACTGGCTGGCCACCAAAGGAAAAAAAAAATCTGGTCTCTGTCTTCCCAGCACTGGGGTCACAGGTGTCAGACAAGCCAACTTCTTAAGTGGGCAATGGGATCCAAACTCATGTCTTCATGCTTGTATAATAAGCACAGCACATTAGCTACTGTGCCATCTTCCCAGCCCAAAGATTATTTTGATTGTAATACTCTAATAGGTTACAGAATGGCTTTTTAATTAACTAATTAACTTTTTTTTTCTATAGATACTAAAATCTATGCTTGCTAGACTAAAGAGTCTGGCATGAAGAACACTGGAAATCTGAGGCTAGTTTATAAATCCCTGTAAAGACTGTGGACCTTCAGGAAAGATTCTCAGGAGCAGGGAAGTGGTTACTACTTGGGGGAGGATATAGTAAGGCTCAGACTAAACTTCTACTGGCCACGGATGGTCTAACAGATCAAGGTCTTTTCACATGCTGGTCACCATTTTACTCCATATTATAAAAATTAACCATTATTTAAGTGTTATTACACTAGAATAGAATAACAGAAAGATAGTCAAGAAACAAAATTCTAAAAAAAATGCTAAGAAAATAAAATAGGAGGAACCAGTGAGATCATTCAGTGGATAAAAAGATGCTTGCTACTAAGCCTCATGACCTGGGCTTGATCCCTGGGCCCCAGATGGTGGAAGGAACCCTTATTCCAAAGCTGTCTTCTGACTTCCACACATGCGCCTTGGCATGAGCATACACACATATTAAATAAACATAATAAAAAAATTTAAAAGGTAATAGAAAAGGGTAGAATAAAAATTTGGGAAGGAAAACTCAAGAATGACAAAAAGCCTCTGAATAAAGTGTGTCATCAGAATCTGAAGCACATGATAAGAGTAAGGAAATAAATTTACTTTTGTGGGTTCATATTAACTACATGGGTCTGTTTAGAAATGATTAGGAAAAAAACATTCACTAAAAGAACTGGGAATATTAAATGGTTCATATTAACTATATGAGTTTGTTTAGAAATGAACAGGAAAAAACATTATTCACCAAGGAACTGGGCAGAAGCCCAATTACAATTAATAGAACTGGATTTTGGGAAAGTTATGTTTATCATGTTTCATCTGGTTATCAAAAAATTCTCAGTTTGTGTCAAAAACTATTCTTATTCTTGCTTTATAAACCCAAATGTAGCCTTTGCTAAGAAATTTTCAAATAGCTATTTGTTAATAAGTATTGAGAAGTACAAACTGTTGCCCTACTTAGAGTCTTAGGATAATGGTACCCTTTAATTCAGAACTAAAAATTGGGAAAGCATGAATCAACCAGAACTGTAGAGAATGGAATAATTAATATGTGACCCAGCATAGGCAGGAAGGCAATGCATCATTGCTGGAGCTCCCTCAGTAAGGACTATGATGGAAACATGTACTGGATAACAAACAGGAACTGTTTACAAAGGACAGTGATCAGAAACAAGGAAGAAACAAAACCCTGCATTTATTATGGTAAAAGATGAGGGCCTGTTCCACAAAAATCAAAGTGATATATTAATACCATTTGGAGAGTGAAGGTGTGCCTAAGTTCAAAGTTAACTTTTTTAGTCTTAAAGGCAAGTATATAGTAATTGTGGACAATATTTCATTATTACACCAACCTGCATGACATCTTAATTTAATGCTTAACAAAACAATCCTCTAATATTAAGTTGGATTCTCATTAGTATCTTCTCAAAGAAGAGTGGGGGCATGCACAGCACAAGTCTGGATTAGGCAACAGGTATATTCTCATTTAGTCTCTTCTGAGTTTTAATTTAATTTGAACCAGTATATTACTAATTCTCATCATTTTAGAGAACTGAAAAAATTGCATTTGCATACTGTGGAATCTTTCCTTGAAGCAAGAAAATGTATAACTAACTTGTGAAGAACCTTGGTTATCTTCTAATTGGCTTTTTCCCAGTGGTATACGCTTTGTACTGATCCCGCCACAATTTTATTTTAAAGTTAAAAATAAACAAAATTTTAATTCTAACACTCTTTAAAAAATTGCCAATAGTTTGGGCTTCAGTTGTTGGTTAGACTACATAAAATTTTTGAAGCAAAGTGACTCAGTTCAGTGATGAACAAAACAAAAGTAATTCTCTTTGTGTTCTGCACTGGGCAATGCATTAATTTTCCAGAATTTCTTGGTATGCCCATACTTGTTTCAGGACAGTTCTAAGAGTTGTCAGGACTAGTAACAAATGCAATATTGAGATATTGACCATATAATGGCTATTTTTGGTTGTCAACTTGACTACATCTGACATTAAGTAAAACTCAAATGGCTAGGTACACCTATGAGAGATTTCTTTCTTTCTTTTTAAAGATTCATTTAGCCGGGTATAGTGGTGCATAGCTGTAATCACAGCACTTGGGAGGCAGAGGCAGGTGGATCTCTTTGAGTTCAAGGCCAGCCTGGTCTACAAAGTCAGTCCAGAACAGCCAAGACTACACAGAGAAGAAACCCTATCTCAAAAAAAAAAAAAAAAAAAAGAGATTTATTATTTATAAAATATTCTGCCTGCATGTGTGCCTGCATGCCAGAAGAGGGCACCAGATCTCATTATAGATGGTTGTGACCCACAATGCAGTTGCTGACAATTGCCCTCAGGACCTTTGTAAAAACAGCCAGTGTGCTTAACCTCTGAGCTATCTCTTAATTAAACCATTTGAAGTAGTAAGACCTATTCTAACCTGGGTCTTTGAGGTAGAAAAATAGACCTTGAATACAGATCTGAGATGGGAAGATCCACCTTTAATTTAGGCCACACCTTCTGCTGGCAGCCTAAATAAAAGAACATGGAAGAAGGAAGCTTGCTTTCACGAGCAAGTTCATTCCTTCCTTTGCATTAGAGCCTACTTCTTCAAGATTCTCGTGTATACTGAAGACCAGTTGGAATATCCCGCCTCCTGGACTGAACTACTACTTGACTATTGGACATTCCATTATGAGACAGCCATTGTTGGTCTAGACACCCCCCCCCCCCCACTCTATAAATTCAGTAGAATAAGTTCTGTTCTTCTAGAGAATCCTGACTAACTGGCTTCTGTCTTTACAATGGCAATTTTACAGCGACACGAAAACATTAGGAAATTAATTTGCAAAGAAGGATGCACATCTTTCAAGACCAGAATCCATTTCAATCTGGTTAAGAAAAGAACACATGTGGCAGAGGCAAAGGTTTTCTTCATTTTAAAACAGCATTCCTTCACCAGAAGACAAACTGTATGGTTACTATTATGACCCTTCAGAAGCCAAGCTAATTTTATTATGCTCTGCAACTCTGTAACAGAGCTGGAACCTGCCATTAGATAAGTATCACAGGTCTTTAGGTCCATAGTCAAAGGATTAATTAAAATCCCAAACAACAGTTTGATTTGATTGTGTAAAAAAAACATACAACTAATGGCAGAGAAAATAAACTATTATAATCTGACATTACATAGTTGTTACATTTTATAGTGATAACATTTAAAATAAAATGTTTTATATTTAGAATCATTATTATTGTTGTTGTTGTTACATGTTTGCAGGTGTGTGCATGCCATGATGCTCACATGGAGGCAAGAGAACATTTCTGGAGTTAGTTCTCTTCCAACTTATTCGTGAGAGATGGTACTGCTGTGCTGCGGACAGTACTGCTGATTTTTGCTGATGTTCTTGCTTCTTTCTCTCACCTGTTGTAAGAGTGCTAGGATTGCAGAATACCATATTCTGCCTTTGTCAAATTTACTTATGGCAAGCACTTTTACCTACTGAGCCATCTCATCTCACACATATCCCCAATTTTGTGTGTGGGAGAAGTGATATGTGCACATCAGAACACAAAGAAGGACATCAGGTGGCCTTCTCTATTACTTTCTGTCTTATTTGAGGAAGGGTCTCTCGATCCTGGAAATCAAATCCTTTCAAGTACATTGCAAGTCAGCCATGCCTGCAATTCTCCTGACTCTATGGAACTATGCCTGGGCTGTTATATGAGTGTTAGAATTTGAACTTTCTCGAACAGCTTAACTGCTGAGCCAACCCTCTAGCCTCCCTCCCCTATACAAACAGGGTCTCACGTATCTCAGGCTGTCGTGAGGATGATCTTGAACTTCTGATTCTCATCTTTCTAGGCCCCAGGTACTGGCATAAAACTCAGGGCTTTGTGTGTGCAAGACGAACACTCTACTGACTGAGCTGCATACCAACCCTCCAATTTACTTTTGAGATGAGTCTCACTCTGGCCTGGGCTGACCTCAAGTTCATGGCGGTCGTCCTGCCTCAGCCTACCAAATGCTGAGGTTATACAAAAGAGCCATCACTCCTAGAAAAAAATTACTTTGATACACTTTAAACCTGTGAGACCTCAGGAAGGTTGGCTTAATAAAAACTGCAGGTCTATTAAAAGTATCAACTTACTGTACCAACTTATAAGATGTAGGTATCAACTTATACCTTAAGGTATAAGTCTAAAAAAAAAAAATAAGGGGTAGGCAAATGGCTGTGTGTGTGATTGTCATGAAATACTGACCACCTGAGTTCGATCCCTGGTTCCACAGTGGAAGGAGAGAAAGGACTCCAGAAAGTATTTTTTCTTACCTCTACACATGTACCATGGTATGTAACACTTGCACAAACATCTTCATATCAGTGCCCACAAAATAAGTAAATAAATGAATGCATTTTTGTTTTACAGAAGACAAGCTTTTTTTAATGATTAATTTGATTTTATTTTATGTGCATTAGTGTGAAGGTGTCAGAAGTTGTGAGCTGCCATGTGGGTACTGGGAATTGAACCCAGGTCCTTTGGAAGAGCAGATAGTGCTTTTAACCACGGACACCTCTCTCCAGCCCCTATGAACGCATTTTTAAAGTCTAAAGAAATAACATATTGTGAAGAATAGAAGGGAGAAGGTAATAGTAAAACAAATACCTAAACATTTTGAAATATTCTAGGTCAGAATGTTTGTATTTCTTTCTGTCTTTCTTTTTTCCTGAGATGGGGTTCCTCTGTGTAGCCCCGTCTGTCCTGGAACAGTCTGTCCTATAGACCAGACTGTCTTCAAACTCACCAAGATCCATATATCTCTGCCTCCCGAGTGCTGGGATTAAAGGTGTGCACCACAACTGCCCAGTGAAACTTTTCTTTTTCAAACTATATACTTCCAGACACAGCATAAATAATGTTGTCTTAATTAAAATGGGGAAAGAGTAACAGACCTATGCAAAAAATATTCAAAAGCAAACTTAAATTAGCATATCTTTTTCTAATACAAATATAATGCCTTGGAGATATTTATTTTTATTTTATTATTTTTTATTTATTACAATTTATTCACTTGCCTTGGAGATAATTTTAAAGTAAATTCTTGCTTTCCCTCCTAAACTGACAGTACTATTACTACTTCTTTTGTGCTTTATGTATATCCTTCCTTTGTATACAGCTTACCCTGAAGTATAGGTCTTCTTCACCTTAGGCTTTCCCCTGTCCATCTGCATTTCACAGCTAAGTGAATTTTCCCTTTAAAATCATTTATTTTATCACATTTGTAACTTGTTTGAAGACCTTTATTCTTCCACATCGTCATATCTCAAGTAAATACCAGCCTAAATGTCAAGATTCTCTACTACCTGTTCTCACATATGGCACTTTTCCTTTTATGTTTTTTTTTTTTTTGTTTTGTTTTTTGTTGTTTTTTTGAGATTATGGTCTCACTATATAGCAAAGGTTAGGCTCAAACTCACCACCTTTCTGTTTAGTTTCCTAAATGCTGGTATTCTAAAGGTGTGCATCACACCACACTCACACACACGACTTTAAAATTTACATATGCTTTGTGACTAGCATCACAAACCTGCTTTCTTCTCTGGACTCTAACACCAGCTCAAAGACCAGTTCAAATTACATGCCCATTAAGCTTTCTCGAATACATTTTACCTTCTTACATTCTATAAATATAAAATATTTATGTTTAATATTCTCTATTATGGTTTGTATTTTTAAAAAGTCATCAACTCGTTATGTTAATGTTTTTTAAGTAGAAGTCATAACATTACCTGCGAAAAAGTTGATTAAAAGGCAGAGCATAACCAAAATCCAAAACAAACCAAACAACCCCTCATAACCCTCCCCTGGAAAAAAAAGCGGGGCAGTGGTGGTGTATTCTTTTAATCCTAGCACTTGAGGCAGAGGCAGGTGGATCTCTGTGAGTTTAATGCCAGCCTGGTCTATAAAGTAAGGTCTTAGACAGCCAGGGCAGTTAACCCAGAAAAACTCTTATTTCAAAAAACAAAAAAAAAAAAAACAAAAAGTAAAAAGGCAGAGCATAAAAATTTTATGCTGCTTTTTTTCACAACTGATCTTAAAACACAGTCTACACTAGCTTTATTGCCACTACCTGACTGACTGACTGTGTGTGTGCGTTTTAGTTTTTTGAGACAATAACCCACTATGTTTACCAAGGCAGCCTCCAACTCATAGAGACCTGCCTGCTTCTGCCTGCCAACTGCTGGGATTAAAGGTGTGAGTCACCATACCAGGCTTTTAATCCAATTCAGTACCAAATGCATGCAAATGCTTGAATGCTTGAATGTGTAAAACACATTACTAGAGAAAAATATCTGTAATTTAAACAGTTTCAGTATTGAAAAGGACTAATTATCAAAAAGATCCAAAGGAAGGCAGTTCAGATAGCATGTCATTAAACAGCAGGAATCAAATCATACCCAATAGAGTCTGAGGGGGGTGCAGAATGGGATCCGGATGTCAGAGCAGTCTCTGCTAAGGAGGCCTCCTCCTGTGGTACTGGGTGATGCTCAAAGAACTTGGAGACAAACAGCAAACTGTGAGGCAAAAACAAAACAAAACAAAACAAACCTAACTTGTGCAAAACCCAGAAGCTTCAAGACACGAGAACACAGAGGTAAATGAGAAAATATGGGATCAAGTTTTACTTTCAGAAACAACTGTTAAAATTCAAGGATATTTTTGTGTAAAGGTTTCTTTTTAAAAAATTATATTATACTTTCAAAGGCAAGCTCAGATCTAAAACTAACTGTTCTTTTAGTCAATTTCTATATATTAGAAAAAATTCATACTGTGTGGTTTAGAAATTAGAAGAAAAAATACCTAGTAGTAAGTTAGACTATTATCCTTTTTGTTTTTTCTGAGATGAATTCTGTGTGTAGACCAGGCTGGCCTTGATCCACCCACCTCTGCCTCCTGAGTAGCTGCTAAGTTGGATGTGGTATTATGATTTATTTTAATGTCATATACCATTTCAACAGCAGCAATCTATTAGGCATAATACAGAATAAAGAAAAAAAGTATTTTAGAAAGAAGTAAATAAATCACGTGTAACTACTCCCTTAAATAAATGGAAACGGCTAGAGGTAAGACAACAGGCGAGCAGGGGTGAAGAGTGAAGGAAGAAGAGTAATAGAAATGTTAAAATGGATTGCGGAATCAGATTCCCTGTCCAAAAATATAGTATCAACTTACTTGAAACACTATTCTGTAACCAGCCCTAACGTGTATAAATGTGATCTCTAAGGACTAGTAGGAGCATGGAATGTACTTCATGCGCAGCAGGCCCAGTGCCCACTTGTCTAGGAGAAAAGAGCTGCCTGTATTATTTGTTAGTTTAAAAATTCTGTAACAACTGCATTGGGCACAACATCCCTCATGATTTTCAAAGCATGGTAATTTCACATGATGAAAATTTAACTATAAAGTAGTAGCAAAGAGGTTCTTTGTGGATTACTTACTCAAGTTGGTCATAATTAACACACATCAGTGGAACCTCTGTACTACAACGCTGGTGAAACTTATAACCACATGTTTGACAGCGGAAACCCTGGAAAAGCAGCTTTCGACAAAAGTCACAAAAAGCTAGGGTGAAAAAAGTTTTCCGTACCTGCAAGTGAAAAATCATAAAGGGTTTCAATTACTTGCAAGAATCCTTTTTATAAACCAACACATTTACTCTCTAAATTAAAATAACAATTTTTACTATACTATACTTTACTATAAATTTTTACTATTTATATCATAAAAAGTCACACACCAAAATAAAACATTAGAAACCAGGGGAACTGAAATCCTATCTCATCCTAACCCAGAAATCAAGACAATATAACAAATAAAAGAATTTAGTCTCATAAATTACCTAATCTCTAGTAGTCAACAAGCAGCACTTAAAGGGACTCGCATAAAATTCTTAAAAATAATTTAAAAATATGAATTAAAAAGAATAATTTTAAGTTTAACAACGTAAAAAAGTGAAAATAGAAAAAGAGACAGAGACAAAAGGGAAGAAAACCAAAGTTATCATTTAATTACTACACAAAGAGAGAAGTTAAAAAAAATGGTTGCTAGTGCTGACAGCACAAGAAACATTTATTTAAACTTTCATAGTTAGCAAGCAAGATGCAAAAGGAAAAAAAGATGGTTATAACGCTTGTAGAATCAGCAACCAGTATATGCTTAAAGTTGATAAAGCAACAAATCATGGCAAAAGATTATCTAGTAATATGAAAATAAATACCTAAAAGCTTAACAGAAACTATTAAAAATTATCAATAGCTTCATGAAATGTACTGTTTTACTAACATGTAGTGGGGATTATTTTGTATGATCACAGAATTATGAACTGAACTGTTTGTAACACAGGATATGTTAATATATTATTGTTGAATTCAGCAACTTTGTTTTTTTCAAGATAGGGTTTCTCTGTGTAGCCCTGGCCATCCTGGAACTCACAGAGATCCACCTGCCTCTGCCTCCCTGAGTGCTGGGAATAAAGGAGTGTGCTGCCACCACCACCAGGTGAACGCAGCAACTTCTTAAAAGTTTAGCTCTAAAATTTGGATAGTGGGAAAGGAAACCTCTCCCCTCAAACTTTAACATATTGTTAAGACACCTCTGGAAGAATGTCTGCTATGGACTTATTTTTAGTCTATGATTTCAGATAAACTTCTTTATGAAACAAAATAAATGTTGAAAAGTCTTTAAAAAATTATCAGTGACTTTTGATGTATAATTCGGATTTAAAAAACTTCAATATACTAAGGGAACTCTTTCCAAAATTATATACAATGTGTATGTGCTGCCATAAGAGGCAGAAAAAATATGTAACAGAACTCTTAACAATTATTATTTCAGAATGCTGATAGCAAGGATGACTTCATTCTTGTTGTGTTTTCACAATCAATAAATAATAAATGTACTCTTATTATGATTCAATATATACCTGAATTTATATAGCAGTACTTACTCAAACATAACTTAGAATTTTACATCCTTTACTACATATAAATGCTTTTTATGATACATTTAATTTACATCTCCCTTTCTATTTAAATGGTCTTGAACTTTCAAGCAGCCTCTTGCTTCTGACTCCCAGGTACAGGATTCCAGGTATGGAAAACCACATCTGCTCTCAAACTTTTTCTTTTCTTTTTTTTTTTTTTTTTTTGACCTTCCAGGCTGTCTTTCAGGTTCCAGTCATCTGCCTATCACTGCTTCCCAGTGTTAGAATTAAGGTGTGTGTGCCACCATAGCCAGCTCATTTTCAAAAAAATATTCATTCAATGAACAGTTACTGAAAATTATAGTCTGGCATATAATCTGGCCTTTCAAGAACCTTTACATTGTGGGATCTGCTTTCTCTGGTTTCCTCATCACTTGAGAAAGCATGTGAAAAAAAGCAAATGCTTGTTTCTAGCTTCTTCCTTTTCCATTTGCCTGTGATTATACACAAATGAAAAAATACTTCCTTTGATATTTAATTGCCAAACTAACAATCTTTAGTACTGCTAACATTATCTCAGAAAAATAAAGTCTGCACACAAACACACGAATACCATCTGACTTTTTTGCCAACCATTCAAATCCTCACTCACAGATAATTTGTTGTTTAATGAAGTCTTGAATATCCTTCATTTGCCTACCTAGTACTCTTCTTCCTACCTAGTACTTATGTATATCTGGTTGTTTTATACACACACACACACGTGTCGGGGGTGGGGGAAAAGAAGGGAAATAGAGAAGAAAGGAGAACATCTAAGGGGAAAAGATAGTGGGTATGCATTTGAGCATGGATTTTATGCAAACCTTGTATCCGAAAGATACCTTTGTGAATAAAGATGAACCCTAAAAGATCTATCATTTCTTCTGGGCCATAGCTTATGCTCAGTCTAAAGCAGAATCTAAGCATATCTAAAGATGTGTAGTAAGTTGGGGGTGGAGTGTTTAAGAGGTCATTGCACACTGCTGACAACTTAAGCTAGGTTTTACCAAATTCAAAAAAACACAAGAAAAAGTCACAAGGAGAGCTCAGCACCCAACTACCCTACTTTTCCATCCGTTACCTTATTTTTCAGAGCAACATGTGTGTTGAGATATAGGAAGTCTAACTGTGTACGTAACATTTTGTAAAAATAAAAATTTACATTTCTACTAACAGAGGAAAGACACCAGATTTCTATTCTTATGGGCTACTGGGCAATCGTTACAAGAAAAAAACTAGGTATACTGAAACAGAATAATGCCCACAAATCCTATTGGTGATAAAATTAAAAAAAAAAAAAAAAAAGCACACAGTATGAACCCAATTTTTACCTAAGAAAGAGACAGGAGTGGGAAGTAATTAAGAGAAACACACTGCCATACATTTTGTGTATACAGAAAATTATACAGTCTTCTAATCTACACAAATAATGACTTCTACGAAAATTTCACTTTACTAGATGTACTTTTACATCATACTAATTTTTGTTCTTTTATTTTGTTTCATTTGTTTGTATTTTTCGAGACAGAATTTCTCTGTGTAGTCCTGGCCATCCTGGAACTTACTATGTACACCAGGCTAGCCTTGAACTCAAAGAGAACAATCTGCCTTTGCCTCCTGAGTGCTGGGATTAAAGCTATGTGCCAGGCGGCTTACTTCTTTTTCTTTTAAGAGACGCAGTACATAATTTAAAAACCATATAAAAAGAATAAATATTAAAAATGTTTATTTTTATTAAATATTAAAGTCTTTAAATACAAGATCTTAAAGAACAGAACTTAGAAAAATTATCAATCACAAAATTATCTGTTTTTCATATTCCCTAAATTAACAACAACAACAAAAAATTAAAAATAAATTGACCACCAGGCAGTGGTGGTGCATGCCTTTAATCCCAGCACTCAGGAGATAGAGGCAGGCAGATCTCTGTGATTTGGAGGCTACCCTGGTCTACAGAGTAAGTTCCTAGAGAGCCAAAGCTATACAGGAAAAACCCTTTCTCGAAAAACCAACCAACCAAACCAACCAAAGTGACCATTTTTTACAACTTAAATATGAAAAGGTACATACAAAGTTGTGTGTTGTAAGTGGAACATTCTCTAGCACTTCTACGTGCAGCTCCTCCCCAGTAAGCCAGGAAATATCAGTGTCCCAACCAATTGGCTTCTTCTCTCTGAAAAAAAATGTAGGCAAAAAGCTTCCTTGATTATCGCACCACAAAATACATATAAACATTATGCTAATATATGAAAATAGCTACAGGAGACCTAATACTAAGGAGGTTTGGCTCCCCGCATTTACATCATTAGAAATTTAAGCGTTAAAAAAAAGCTTAACTCTAATAAATGTATTTCTCTTAGACAAAGAACAGTGTAAATATATTTACTCTTAAGTCAGTCCTGTAAAACCTACAACAGTCAAAACTGAATTGTTCCTGAGGTTGAAAAAACAAACAAACAAACAAACAACAAAAAAGTATGGTCTTATCTACCAATAGAGAAAAAGAGCATTCAAGGAACAACATACCTCAAAATGCAGATTAAAACAACCATCTGGGAAGAATTTACTTTATGAAAAAACAATGCTTCAATATGAAACAAATTTTGATAGACTTCTTACGGAACTATTGAGCTTGTATTTAATAGGAAAACTGTAGAAATGAACATTATCTAAATAAATCACATCCTTCCAAATGCTACAACGGTTTAATACAGTGCCTCATGTTGTGGTGGCAAAAAATTTATTTTTATTGTTACCCATAACTATAATTTTGCTACTGTTAAAAACTACACTGTAAATAAATACCTGTGTTTTCCAGTGGTCTTAGGACACCCTGTGAAAGCTTTGTTCAACCCCTAGGTTAAGAACTACTGTTCTAATGATTCACAAATTATAGAAATTATAAACTCGAATAACGAATAAATACTACAAAAGCACACAAATTATCAACGGCCTTGAAGATTTCTTCAAGAGTAGTATTAGTACTATTAGTACAATATTTTAAAGTTGATACTCTAAATCTTTTAGTAAAAAATAATTTCTTTCTCTCTTCTTAATGTGTATGGGTGTTTTGCCTGCAAATAAACCTGTACACCTCATGCATGCCTGAGGAAACATATTAGCGTTTTAGATCTCCTGGAACTGGAGTTACAGATGGCTAGGAGATGCCAATGTGGGAGCTGAGAATTGAACCCAGGTCCTCTAGAAGGGTGGCTAGTGTCTCCAGTTCCTGAGTTAATTTTCAGTTCCCAAGATTTGGATAAATACTATAAAACAAACTCAAAGTTTTATGTCTAATTTCTTTTCAAAGAAAATTACACAACACATACAAACCATACCCATCCTGAATTCTGTAGACAGCACAGCACTCTGGGATGAGGCCTCTCATCATCAGTGCCTTCTTCAAACTGTCTCGAACTGTAACACCACAACGTGCTGGTACCTATGATATAAATGCATGTAAGTGGTAAAGGGAAGGAGGTTTTCTTTCAAATTATTTCTTGAAACTCAAGTCAGTTAGGGCTGGAGTGGTAGCTCCGCAGTTAAGAGCACTGGCTGCTCTTCCAGAGTACCTGGCTTTCCAGGTACCTACATGGCAGCTCACAACTGCCTGAAACTGCAGTTCCAGCTGACACCACACAGACATACGTGTACACAAAACACCAATGCACATAAAAATAAATAAATCTTTAAAAAAGTTTAAAAAACTCACAGATATATACCTTTTAACACCTTTAAAATATCATGACTTCCTTGGGCCAAATACAGTATCATGTCTATAATTTACTTACTAGTCAAAGGAAATCACAGCAAGCTACTATAATTTTACCAACTTAAAGAACAATTGATTAAGGCCAAGCATGATGGTGCATGACTTTAGTCCTAGCACTTGGCAGGCAAACGCAGGAGGGCTATCTCTGTGAATTCCAGGCCAGACAAGGTAATAAAATGAGGCCCTATCTCAAATTTGTCATAAGAGTATAGGCTCTTATTAAGTATTCAGGATGGAACTAGATTTATACAGTTAATCCTCATTGTCTGTGGAGAATGTACGTGTGCATTTGTCTACTCACTAGAAAACAGAAATACCTTTATTGCTTTGTTGTTTGTCTGTTTTTCGAGACAGGGTGTCTCTGGGAAACGGCTTTGGCTCTGTAGATGAGGCTGGCCTCTAACTCCCAGAGATCCACCTGCCTCTGCCTCCCGAGTGCTGGGATTAAAAGTGTGTGCCACCACTGCTTGGTCCTTTATTGCTTTTATGGATACATGAAGATCAGTGAAAAACTTATTCATGTACTGTCTGTCCTAGCTAAGGTTCAACAAAGTTGACAGTTTACCTGTTTTCAGAATATGAATCTGTGTTCTAGTCAAAGCCTACTTGTTGCTCTATTTTCTAAATTTATGTGCTTTTTGTTTCAGATGGTTTCCCAGGAGAGTACTTAACGCGAAGTTTAGAGCTCCTAAACCCAGTGAACACTGGAACGGGTCTGGCAGGGAAGAGGTGCATGTGTGCATGTTTGGAAAACAGGCCTCAGTTACACGGGTGTCAGCCATGAGTTCATGTTACCAAGCCAACAACAACATATATACTTGTCTAAATATGTATTTACCACAGAAAAATGCACACTTGAACAAAACAGTCATGTTCAAACTTTATCATCAAAAAACCCTAATTGAAATGCCCATTGATTAAGAATCCATGAGAATTCGTTACTTTTGCACATGTTTAAAATCTATACTCAACGTTATGTGCAAAACTTTAAGGAGACACTTTAAAATTTGGTTGGACATGAGAAATGTTATACACTGAATTACTTATTTTGTTAGTACCTTTACAGTGTAATTTATTTATTTATTTATTTATTTATTTATTTATTTGTTTGTTTGTTTGTTTTCTTTTTGAGATGGCATCTCATGGAGCCCCGCCTGGCCTCAAAACTCATTATGCACCTAAGAATTACTCTGCATTCCTGTGCTTCCTGTTTCCCAGCACTCTGGGTTACAAACATGTGCTATGGTTGGCTGGGTAGTGCAAAGGCAAGCCTGTGGTATATGTAAACATGATACAGCTAGCCCTTAAACACTGGCATAGAATCCATATGCAAACGAATATGTAGAGTTAACCACAATTTTAAATACACAGTTTATGCTGGTTAGTTTTATGTCAGCCTAACACAAGCTGTAATCATCTGAGAGAAGGGAACTTCAACTGAAGAAAATGCTTCTGTAAGACTGAATTGGCTGGTGAGATGGCTCACCTGCTAAGAAAACTGGCTGCTCTGGTCCTGAGTTCAATTCCCAGAAACTACATAGTGGTTCACAACCATCTATAATAAAGGATCTAATGCCCTCTTCTGGCATGCAGGGATACATGCAAACAGAGTACTCATACATTAAAAATACATAAATGAATTAAAAAATTTTTTTTGATTAAAAAAAAAAAAAGACTGAACTGAAGGCAAGCCTGTACAGCATTTTCTTAATTAGTAATTGATGGGAGATGGCCTGGCACCCATCCCTGGGCTGGTGGCCCTGGGTTGTGTAAGAAAGCCGACTGAGCAAATCATGAGGAATAAGCCAGTAAGCAGCACCCCTCCGTGGCTTCTGCATCAGCTCCCACCTCCAGGTTCCTGCCCCGACATCCTTCAGTGATGAACGCTGATGTGGAAGTAAAAAGCCAAGTAAATCCTTTCCTCTCCAAGTCGCTTCTGGTCACGGTGGTTCATCACAGCAATAGAAAACCCCGACTAAGACATAACTTTTTGATTTTATGGTAATTAATATTGATGTTGAGCCTTTTTCAGCTGTTAGACCAGTCACATCGTTTTTAGGAAAAACTGTGATATACAATGCTTACAACACAGGCTTACTAAAGTAAGAAGAGGATCCTTATACCCTAAAGTAATGTTTGAATTTAAGTGCCTCCTCACAAGCCGAATTTAACTTGCAAAGAACCAGGGCCAACAGGATTTATTAAGGTTGTATCTTTTACTGCTAAATTGTGGTTCTAATAAAATCTAAACAGGTTAATCAGTTAACAAGAAAAGCCCTTCTTTCATTGTTAGAAAAGCTTAGAGCTTTGGAGGAACCAAGAATGCCCTGGTTCTACAGTGCTGCACATAGCACCTGACCTTATAAACTTGCTATGAGAGCAAATGAGAGCACATAGAGTAGTTTTACAAACTGGAAATTGCTAGGCAAAAAAATAGCCTACAAAAACATTCCGTCATCTGTACATCTTAGGTTTTTGTTTTACTGTGGCCAAAAATATAGAGGGAGAACATTTTCTGTGGCTGCAGCATTCATTCCATTTATTAATATCCTTTTATTCTCAACCTACTTCATTAAGCCTACTTAGGTGTAATGGTGAGAATTTAAGTTTCTACTATTACTTACCACCTGAATGGCTAAAATCAGAACACCTTTGCCTTATTTTTCTCTATTGCACAAACAGTTCTTAGTTCAGAGATACAAACAGGGTATTGTTTTAGTTTTCAATTACATTCACTTATTCATAGGTTTTCATTTTTCCACGATGTGTTGTAGGTGGGCACGAGTGCAGTGTGGAGTTCAGAGAAATACTTTTGAAAGTAGCTTCTTGCTTTTTACCATGAGAATCCAAAAAAAATTAAAATCAGCTCACCAGACATGCAGGAAGCACCTTTAACACCCACTGAGCCATCTCACCAGCCCAGGGCATGATTTTTGAGCATTCAGTCTTGGCTTATTTGTTTGTCTTTCATTTATCTTAGATACAATTAGGACTGATATCTACTTAATAGGTATGTGTGGTCCCAAATCTCAAGGTAAAGTAAATCCAAAAACTTGTTCTTTTAAAGATCAGGTATAGGACATATACTAGGTGTTAGGCAGTACTCTTAATTACTGAGTAAACCAGAAAGGTAAGTTGTATTACATAGCGAAAAAGATCCTAAAATTAATTTAGAAGTTTTAGATACAAAACCCTTTTTAGGAGCTGGAGAGATGGCTCAGCAGTTAAGAGGACTTATTGGGTTCTGTTCCCAGCATTCATGTGGTGGCCCATAACCACCTGTAGTTCTAGTTCTGGGGAACCTAGAACTCTCTTCCTTGGGCTCTTAATACATGCGGTATAATAAACTCATGTGGGCTCACATATACAAAAATAAAAATAAAAATAAACCCCAAATTTAAAAGTAACTTTGAATTACATGTGTATTTTCCATCCCTAGGAATTGTTCTTAGTCCTGTGTAAAGGTAGTTTTCTTAACACTGTTTGCTGTTATTATAACATTAACAACAACAGGTGTCTATCAGAGGAAGGATAAGCAAAAATGGAATAGCTGATAACAATTCAATGGAATGAATAAAAATTGCTTTTATTAACAAATAAAATACACCTTGAAATAAAAATTCTGAATAAAATCCTGACCATTGCATACATATGGCATAATTCTACTTTATCAATTAAAAAAACAAAATATTCACAGCCATATGTATGTAGTAAAATGTGACTGAATGTGCTCCACATTTATTACAGGGTTGTTTCTAGTGGGGACTTGGATGTTCAAAAAGAGAATGTGACTGATAAGAGGATATAATTTGTGTATGAATATGAAGAAAATAATAACAAAATCTAATACTTATTGATTGTAGTGGATTAGGAGCTACGTAATATATAGTTCTTAATACTTTTCCAAGTATTTAGACCTTTCCAAATATCTAAAAGAGAAAACTCACAAAGGACCTATATTGTTTTCTTGAGACAGAATTTTATGTAGTCCAGGATATAGTCTATGACTTGTACTCTACAATTTAAATATTTTGCAGGATTTTTGCCTGTAAAATAAATATTTATAAACATTGTAAAAAGTGGTTCTACAGATCAGAACAAGCCACTCCAAAGTATGTCATTTTGGCAAGAGGATTGGTTGAGTTAAAAACAACTGAGACTCCACAGTATGCAGGCCGTTTTTCTTGACACCAGATACAGAGCTATCTGGGAAAAGAAAAATCTTAACTGAGAAAATACCCTGAAATGGGGCCATTTCTTGATTAATCTTGATGTGGGAGGGCCTAGCTCATTGGAGGTGGTGCCACATTGGGTTAAGTGGTCATGGATGGGATAAGCAAACGAGCAAACAGTGTTTTTTCATGACCTCTGCTTCCATTCTTACCTCCGCTTCTTGCCTTGAGCTCCTGCACTGACTTCCTTCCAAAAGTATTCAAAGGCTGGGGAAAGAGCTCGGTTAGTAAAGTGTTTGCCCCACAAGCATGATGACCTGGGCTGAATGTGAGAGCGCATGTAAAAAAGTTAGAAAGTGAGCCAGGTGTGGTGGCACACCCCTTTAGTCTTAAGCACTCTAGGAAGCAGAGGCAGTGATCTCTGAGAGTTGAGGCTAGCGTGCTCTCCATAGTGAGTTCCAGGACAGCCAGGGCTATACAGAGACCCTGTGTAAATAA